TTAAAAAAAAAAAAAAAAAAACTTCCCACAGAAGAGTCCAATAACCAGATGGATTCAGTGGTGAATCCTACCAAACATTTTGAAGAAAAATATCGACAAAGCTGTTCTATAAAACACTACCCAATTCATTCTATGAAGCATGCATTAATGTGACATAAAAGGCAGAAAATGACATTACAAGAAAAACTAAAGTCCAATAGCCCTCATAAATAAAGGGAAAACTTATTAATAAAATGGGGTTTATCTCAAGAAAGCAAAGTTGGTTTAATATTCCAAAAATAGTATCACTTATGTTAGCAAACTTAAAAAAAAGAAGTTATGATAATTTCACTTAAGCGTATAGAAAGCATCTAACAAAATCTACTATCTCTTCCTTTAAGAACTCGCCGCAAGCTAGGACTAGAAAGCCCTGTCCTCATTCTCAGAGTACAGTCATGAAAAACCTACAAGACTATAAGACACTTCCACGTGACACACGGAAAGCTTTTGAATAGGATCGAACAAAGGAGGAAAGTCCACTGTCACTACTCCCATTCAGCACTGTCCTGATCTTCTAGCCGCAGTAAGGCAAGGAAAAGCACACAGAGAAGAGGTGAAACGGTGTTCACTCACACGATTCTCTACAGAAAAAATCCATCAGAATCAGGAAATAGCTACTGCAACTAGTAAGTGACCTGAACAAGGAAACAAAATGAGTGTACAAAAATGAATTGTATTTCTATGTTTGCAAGCAACAAACCATCGATCAGAATTGAAATTATGAAAACACTAACATTTACAATAGCATCAAAAACATTTTAGGAGGGGGCTTCAATAACTTGTTGAAAATGGAATTCAAGGGAGGAGGGGGCATGAAAAAAATTTTTTTTAAAAAAGAAAATGGAATTAAACGATCATGTAATTTTTCTGCAACCTTTTTGAAGCCCACCTGTCTACTTTAAAATAAATCTGACAAAAAAACTCAAGATTTATGGTACTAACCTCAAAACTGAAGCTGAACGTGATAATAATGCTAGTCATTCAAAGGAATAGGAATAAGAAAGCTTTTTCCAGATAATCTACTTCTTTGACATATGTTGTCAGGTGACTGAATGTGAATCTATAGTCTGTCAATCTGTTACCTGTGAAATATGATTGATGGAAGACTCCATTCTTCGCAACTGGGAGGCTTGGATGTCCAGCAATTGGAGTACATTGTTGGCCAACGCATTTATTTGGTAAGCAACACTAGCTAAGGATTGGGTCGTGTAGGCTTTGGTCTCTTCTAAAGCTTTTCTCTTGTCTGTAGCCTGAAATAAAAACAAACACAATCTACAGTTACTTAAAGTTAGATAATCAGCAAGTATATACTCTAGGAAAAGGCAGTTATCATTACAATTATTAATAGCAAAACACAATTTAATCAAAAAATGTATTGGACTATCTGGCCACAGTCACTGAAATCCTTCATCTGTCTGATGGAACCTTTCCCTCTTGACTAGCCACTTCGGTGACAGACCGACCACACACTATCAGAGTGGCACTGGGATAGATGGTTTTGGTTCCCCAACCCCCTTCTAACCACCGCCTCACTGCATCACACCTATAAGACCTTACTGTCAGCCCCGCACAGTCACATTCTTGTTTACTTACTCACCATCAAAAATTCAACCTTCCTGCTTGTTATTCATTATGACTAAGCCTCTCATCTCCACAAAAATTCCTTTAAAGATTATGACCCAATCACTGGCCTACCGTTTCTTCACAAACTCCACAATTTAGATCACAAAAAGGTCAATAATATATAATCTGAAAAATGAAGAATGCCAAGATTCCAAAGGAGAAAACGAAGAGACAGATAGCTCACAGAAAAAGTAATACAACTGCAATGAGATGAATACTGTGTATGACTTGTTCAAGTAAAACTGATGATCTGCTGTTCTGTAAACTTTCAATCAAATCACAATAAAATTTTATTTAAAAGAAAAAGCAAGGCAATCTTTCTGAACTATTTGAAAAGATGTTTAATTTGCCTCATAATAGAAAAAGAAACAAATGCAAATTAACATGAGACACCATTTTTCATTTTTCCAAACGGCAAATACCAAAAATTCAGACAAAGTCATGGGGAAAGACTCCCTGAACAATTAATAATATGCAGCACAGTTACATGTGGATTTACCTTCTGATCCAGCAACCTCACTTTTACAATTAAGCACAAAGAATCATGATCAAAAACACAATACATACATGCACAAAGACATTCACTGTCCCACTATTTATGTTACCAGGAGATGACAGCTACCAGGAGGGGATGGAATGAATAAATTGCAAAGTTGTATAGCATTGTAATAAGAATATTTGAGGAGGATCTTTACTACCACTATGACATTATCTACAGGATACTGCTGCTGCTGCTGCTGCTGCTGCTGCTGCTGTTGGGTGGCATCAAATTAACTCGGGTTCATGGTGACCCCAAGAAACAGAGCGGAACTGCACCAACTGCACCACAGATCCCTGGTGACACAGCAGTTAAGTACTCAGCTTCTGACCGAAATGCTGACGGTTCACACACACACCCAGTGGCTCCACGGGGGGAAAAAAATCTGAAGATGTGTACTTATAGAGACTGCAGTATATACTGCAAAAGTGGAAAAAAAAAAAAAAAGGTACAAACTATGCGTACCACATGCCACTAATATTTAACTAAGGAAGTCGGGGCTATAAAATATATCCTCATATAAGAAAGGATAAACCAAAAAATTAAAGAATAAGAGAGAAAGGACACATAGTTCGGAAGAAACACAGATAAAGCCAGACTTCTTTAGCATCCTTTGTTTTGCAGATTTGTTTTTTTTTAACTATGTAATAATTTTCACAATTGAAAAAAAGGAACTTCCCAAAATTAAATGTAACATGAGCCTGTGTATTTAATTAATAGTTAATAAAAGAAGAACTATTCTAAAATTACTTCAAAGCTCAGTAATTTGATTGTTCATGCTTAATGGAATTTAGGACCAAAAAAACTGGGGGGGAAATATGACATATAACATGTTTTTTCTCTTTAATGGCAATGGTAGTGTTGGAAATATTTTTTAACTTCCACCAGGCTACTTAAAATTGGCAGGGACGACAAACAGAAAATAAGCAGTGCTGTAAGGGGTTCTGGAGGAATGGGACTATGAAAAGTGGTACGGGTATTGTGGAAAACGCTATGGCAATTCCTAAAACATAAACAGTGTACCTTTTTTTAAAAGAGACAGTTATCAAATAAATGAGATTTTTAAAACAGAAAAACAACCAGCCTGTGTGACCACAAGGTATTGAAGGGATCAGGGATCGGGCATCAAAAAAACAAAAAATCTTATCACTGTAAATGAGGATGAGTGCAGAGTGGAGACACAAAGCCTATCTGTAGGTAACTGGACACCCCCTTACAGAAGGGTGGCGGGGAGGAGACGAACCAGTCAGGGTACAGTGTAGCAATGATGAAACATACAACTTTCCTCTAGTTCTTAAATGCTTCCTCCCCCCACTATCATGATCCCAATTCTACCTTACAAATTCAGCCAGACCAGAGGATGTACACTGATACAGATAGGAACTGGAAACACAG